AATGTTTGTAAAAAATTGTGTAGTTATATATTTTATTAATCACATGCATGATTCCTCCTTTCTTATTATGGAGGTAAATGTTACTGCAATGATCTCGAAAACATATTACTTGAAAACCTAGCTGACACCTGGACATTGATATATTTTACTGATCACGTGCATGATTCCTTAAATGGTTCCTCCTCTCTCATTTTGGAGCTAAAAATGTTACAGCCATGACCTCAACAACATATTGCTTGAAAACCTAGCTGACACCAGGACATTGCAAGCAGTTTTTGAACTCGAAGCTCTTGTTCTTACAGGTGTTATTATGATTAATATTAATCATCTACTGTCCATCAGCTAATCAGTTTAAAAGAACTAATCAGGAAGCAATATAACCAGGTCATTGCTCGGAGAAAGATCATGAACCTCCCCGAGGCCTGCAGTTGATCCTTGGAACCGAAAGTTCTCCCCACATGGTTGACACCCTTGTCATGGTGAAGCAACCTATGAAACTATATTGATATGCTTTTTAACATTGCATCCTTTGGAGAAAACCCTTTGTTATTAGTAAAATTTTGCCTTAGACCCTTTTCTTAACACTCTGTCCCTCTGACAAATGTCGAATATTTTCGAGAATTAATCCAGAAAGAATCTTCGAAGGTAAGATAAATCTGGATTGAGGTAGTGCTTAACATAGTCCTAATCTGTTGAAATACAAAGGCTGGTATTGTCTCTATGTGCAAATCTAATTCCCAACACTGTCTTGTTCTTCTGAATTCTTATTTGTCTGGTATTAAATATGACGACTTTGTTATTCAAATTTGGATTTAAACTGAGCATTTTGTTCCTTGTTTTATCATTTTGTTTTGTTGTACATCGAATCCATCTAAAGTCCTATTGTTTATATTCTCTCATTTTTTTTATATTTTTGGGTTTCTTTAAAAAAAAAAAAAAAAGAAAAAAAAGAAAAAAAAGAAAGGAAAATAGAAATAGTGTGTGCCCTATAATGTGAACTTATGTAGGCCCAAAACAAGTTGGAGAGAAATCTCAAGTTCACCATTAATGAAACATTTTTTGTTGGGACGAAATCATAATGGGAGATAACAAAAGTGATCTGCAAGTTAGACATCAACTTTTACAGTCCTCTCACATGTTGTACTGCTATCTTTTTCCTAGGAGATAAACCTTAAACCCAATCATAAAAATTCCTATTGAATTTAGTCATTGAATCTACTCAAAAAAAATCATAGTGAGGTGCATAGTCGATAT